AGGGAGGGCATCTTGAACTTGGGCATCTTGAACTTGCTGTCTTTCACTGACACCTCAGCCTCCTGCTTGGTGCTGGGGGCCTGCAGGTCCACCTCGGTGCCTGGCAGCGACACTTCTATCTCGGAGCCACTGAGCTTGCCCTGGGAGCCTTTCCCATCTGCCTTGGTGCCCTTTAGTTCCACTTTGGGCATCTTGATGCTGGGCATCTGCACTTTGGGCAGGTGGCCTTTCAGGCCCACACCAGCGCCCATGATGGAGAGGTGTGCCTCGGGCAGGGCTCCCCTGGGCTGTTCTCTGCCTAGTTGCTCGGCCTGCAGGTCAATGTCATCAGAGGGTAGCGGAGCGCTGTCCTCAGGTGTCTTCAGGTCTACTTGGATAGCAGGCAGGGACACGTCGGCCTCCAGCTTGGGTGCGGACACCTCCAGCGAGCCCTCAATGGTCTTTCCAGATGCCGTCATGCCAAAGGAAGGCATCTTGAACTTGGGCATCTTGAACTTGCTGTCTTTCACTGACACCTTGGCCTCCTGTTTGGCGCTGGGGGCCTGCAGGGCCACCTTGGCACCAGGTAGCGACCCTTCCAGTTCAGGGCCACTGAGATCACCTTTGGTGCCTTTCACATCCTCTTTGGGCCCCTTCAGCTCCACTTCGGGCAACTTGATGCTGGGCATCTGCACCTTGGGCAGGTGGCGCTTCAGGCCAGCTCCCGAGACTGTGGCAGGTAGTTCCGCCCTGAACAGGGCTGCCTCAGGCAGTTCTACGCCCTTCTGCCCGGCCTGCAGGTCCAAGTCAGCAGAGGACAGCGAAGTGCTGGCCTCAGGGGTCTTCAGGTCTACTTGGACGTCAGGCAGGGACACATTGGCCTCCAGCTTGGGTGCAGACACCTCCAGCGAGCCCTCGGTGGTCTTGCCAGGAGCCATCACACCAAAGGAGGGCATTTTGAACTTGGGCATCTTGAACTTGCTGTCTTTCACTGATACCTCGGCCTCTAGCTTGGCGCTGGGGGCCTGCAGGTCTACCTCGGAGCCTGGCAGTGACACGTCCCGTTCGTGACCACTGAGATCACCTTTGGCGCCTTTCACATCCACATTGGGCTCCTTCAGCTCTCCTTTGGGTAACCTGATGCTGGGCATGTGCACCTGGGGCAGGTGGCGCTTCAGGCTGTCTGACGAGCCCGTGGTGGACAGATCCACCTCAGGCAGGGCTCCCTCAGGTATTTGAATGCCCTGCTGCCCGGCCTGCAGGTCAGTGTCAGCAGAGGACAGTGAAGTGCTGGCTTCAGAGGTCTTCAGCTCTACTAGGACTGAGGGCAGGGACACGTCAGCCTGCAGCTGGACTGCGGACACCTCCAGCGAGGTCTCAAAGGTCTTGCCGGGTGCCATCACACCAAAGGAGGGCATCTTGAAGTTGGGCATCTTGAACTTGCTGTCTTTGGTGCACACCTCGCCCTCCAGCTCGGTGCTGATGGCCTGTATGTCCACTTCGGCACCAGGCAGCGATACCTCCCGCTCGGCGCCACTGACATCTCCTCTGGAGCCTTTCACTTCCACCTTGGGCCCCTTCATGTTCACCTGGGGGCCTTTCAGGTCCACTTTGGACATCTTCATGCTGGGCATGTGCACCTTGGGCAGGTGTCCCTTCAGGCCGGCACCTGGCAGCTCTTCCTCGGGCAGTG